TCAACTGAGCCTTTTATATAGAGAGAATAAACTTGCTTAATTAGACCTGCTTTCTGATTTGGCTAAACTTTTTCCAGCCCAGTGAAACACCCCAACTTCTCTTTCAGGTAATTGTCAGCAACACAGCAGTAAAAATCAACATGAGGCAGATTATTATTGCAGATCATGCAGGGAGAACAAAAGGTAAAATATTTAGCTGCAGCAGTGTTTGACTATATTCGGTGCAGCGAGAAAACCTGAAGTCATTTTCAAGGTCCACCATTTCTTACTTCTTTTCAGTCGCGTCAACTTTCTGAGCTTTCTAAATCTTTGTTTTCTGCCGAGACCGGTTTGGCTCAATGGATAGAGCGTTGGCTTGGGGACTGAAGGAACCCAGGTTCGATTCCGGTCAAGGGCATGTACCTTGGTTGCAGGCATATCCCCAGTAGGGGGTGTGTAAGAGACAGCTGATCGATGACTCTCTCTCATCGATGTTTCTAACTCTCTATCTCTCTCCCTTCCTCTCTGTACAAAAATCAATAAAAAATATATTAAAATAAATAAATAAAAATAAATCTTCGTTTTCTGGCTAATGAAAATAGGATTCCCATCTATTATACCTACTGTGAGGATCAAATGAGATGAGGCACGGAAAATGCTTCACAGACATTTGGTTAAAGTGTGAAATGTTTGCACCTGGCTAAAAAGCAAGTCTATTACTGGGCTGAAGAAACTCCAAGGATGCTAATTGCTAGGAAGAGGAAGCCGGGTGTTGCTATGTAATGTCATTACCCGGCACCCACAGCCACTGTTTTCTGGCTTGGCTGGGATGTGGGCCACATTTTGCACCATGGGGTCTTGGCAACATTGGCTGAAATTTGGTGGGGTATGTCTCCAGGATGGTGGCAGGGCCTGTTTCCCACGTGGGGGAAGCCAAGTGTTGCTTTATAGGCCCCAGGTCCATGGTGCCATTTATCTGTAAATGGCCAGTGCGTGTCACGGCAGCTCCTGCATTAAGCATCTGCACCCTAGTGGTCAGTGTGCATCATAGCGACTGATCAGACGGTTGGACACTTAGCATATTAGCCTTTTATATAGAGAGATTATATATGTATATAAAAGGCTAATATGCTAAGTGTCCAACCATCTGATCAGTCACTTATATATATATAATCTCTATATATATAATATATATATATAGATGAACCCCCAAAAAGTGTTCATCTATCTATCTATAGATATATATATATATATATCTATAGATAGATAGATAGATAGATAGATAGATAGATGAACCCTTTTTGGTCCTACAGTGGCAATGTTGAGCCAGCAGCACCCACCCTCTTTGTATCTGCACCTACACTCCACTCTGTGCCCTCTGCACAGCCCACTGAGCAACCAAGACAGACCGGGCCGTCTCCTTTGCCAAGGACTTCTGGCCTGAGGCATCGCCGTGGCCCCCGATGGAGCGGGTCAAGCTGCCGCTCAGGCACAGCACCAGCAAGCAGATCACAGCGGACAAGCAGAACCTGGGCATCGGGGACTGCACCGCGCATCCCCACGGAGCGGGGCGAGCTTCCTTCCGGAGGGGCAGCCTGGCCAGCGTCACCTGCTGCCGCCCCACGCGAGCCCTGAACTTCGCCTCCCAGGGGAGGTACCAGCAGGTCTTCCTGGGGGCGTGGACGAGCACACGCAGTCCTGGAAGAAGTCTGCTGGCCACCGGGCCTCCAGCGGTGCCACGAGGGCCACCTCCCTCTGCTCACCCACCCCCTGGATTTTGCCAGAATCCACCTGGCAGCCAACGTGGGGAAACTTAGAATTGAGTGGAGGTCAAGGGCCTGGCAACTGTCTGGTGAACATCACCAAGTATGACGGCATCGGGCCTCCACGTTGGTGCAGGGCATTAGCTCCCCGGCTGCCTACCCGGGCTTAGACAACACGGCCAGAGGAACGCCCCCAGGGCTCAAGGTCACCCATACGGTGAGCTGAATGACGGTGACGGCCATGGCGGGCCTGGTCTCCTGCCCCTTCAACACCCTGCCGAGGCGATGATGGAGCAGTGGGGGCGCAAAGGGGCGGGCAGCACGTGCAGGGGGACCGTGGGCGGCTGGCAGGAGATCTTCAAGGACAAGGAGGCAAGACCTTCTTCAAGGGCGCCTGGCCCAACACCCTCACGGGCCTGGGCAGAGCCTTGTTTTAAAATATATTTTTATTTTTTAAATATATATTTTATTGATTTTCCACAAAGAGGAAGGGAGAGGGATAGAGAGCTGGAAACGTCAGTGAGAGAGAAACATCAACCAGCTGCCTCCTGCACACCCCCCACTGGGGATGTGCCCACAACCAAGGTAACATGCCCTTGACCGGAATCGAACCCGGGACCTTTCAGTCTGCAGACCGACGCTCTATCCACTAAGCCAGACCGGTTTCGGCTATAAAATATACTTTTATTGATTTTTTTACAGAGAGGCAGGGAGAAGGATAGAGTCAGAAACATCGATGAGAGAGAAACATGGATCAGCTGCCTCCTGCACACCCCCTACTGGGGATGTGCCCACAACCAGGGTACATGCCCCTGACCGGAATCGAACCTGGGATCCTGGAGTCTGTAGACCAACACTCCATCCACTGAGCCACACTGGTTAGGGCAGGGCAGAGCCTTTTGCTGGTGCGGTAGGATGAGCTGAATAAAGTCGCCGAGGTGTGCCCCTTGCCTAGACAGAGGGAACCGGAGAGCCACACAGACTGCGTCACTGCTACAGACCATTGATCTTCCAGAGTCTCCAGTGTTCTTGCCCAGCAGGATCATGGGTAAAGCGCTGGGGAGGCTCTAGAACCGGTTCCTGGTGATGAGGACCACTGGCACCGATTCCAAGCATCGATGGGGGGGACACTGTCGTCCTGCAGGGCCCACAGGAACAGCTGCTCCACCACATAGGCCTAGGGCCAATGCTCACGGGCGGGTCGTGTTTATAGTTCACTTAAAGGAAATCAGCCTGCACCCTAGCTGGTTTGGCTCAATGGATAGAGCGTCGGCCTGCGGACTGAAGGGTTCCAGGTTTGATTCCGGTCAAAGGCACGCGCCTGGGGTGCAGGCACCATCACGGTGTGCAAAGAGCAGCCAATCAATGATCACTGATGTTTCTATCTCTCTTTAAATCAATAAAAACGTTAAAAAAAAAACAAAAAAAAACTGGACATGGTTGTGACATTTAAAAATAAAAAATAAAAAGGAGATCAGCCCGGCCAGCGTGGCTCAGTGACCTATGAACCAGGAGGTCGTGGTTTGATTCCTCATCAGGGCACATTTCAGACTCAATCCCTAAGAGGGCGTGCAGGAGGCAGCCAATCAATGAGTATCTCTCCTCATTGATGTTTCTGTCTCTCTCCTTCTTCCTTCCTCTATGAAATCAATAAAAAATATATTTTTAAAAATAAAAGAAATCCTATCACCCATTTGTACTTAAGCACTATTCTCAATGCACAGCTAAATATTTGCGACTAAGTTCTATGTCAGGTATAATCTGCTGCAAACAAGTAAAACCAGGCACAGAGAATAAAAAACACACCCAAGGAAAAAAACAAAACACTGAACAGCTGAGACCGGTTTGGCTCAGTGGATAGAGTGTCGGCCTGCGGACTGAAAGGTCCCGGGTTCGATTCCTGTCAAGGGCATGTACCTAGGTTGAGGGCACATCCCCAGTAGGGGGTGTGCAGGAGGCAGCTGCTCGATGATTCTCTCTCATCGGTGTTTCTAACTCTATACCTCTCTCTTCCTCTCTGTAAAAAATCAATAAAATATATATTTTTAAAAAAACAACTGAACAGCAGTGTGCCCTCAATAAACAGTTATTGAGTAAGTGGCTCCTAGTTCAGGACGTAAGACGTGAGGTTTTCATTTATTTAAGAAAGGCCGGGGAGCACTTGCTTCGGAGTCCCCTCAGCCTGGGCCAGAGCCCAGCTCTGTCCCCAGCAGACGACGTGTCTCCAGGCCCCGGAGTTTCCCTCTCTGAGCTTCCAATATTTTCCGTCAAATGGGGTCTCAGCCTTAACTGGTTTGGCTCAGTGAATAGAGTGTCAGCCTGCAGACTGAAAGGTCCCAGGTTCGATTCCGGTCAGGGGCATGTACCTTGGTTGCGGGCACATCCCCAGTGGGGGGTGTGCAGGAGGCAGCTGATCGACGTTTCCTAACTCTCTAACCCTCTCCCTTCCTCTCTGTAAAAAATAAATGAAATATACTTTTTAAAAAATGGAGTTATTGGCCGAAACCGGTTTGGCTCAGTGGATAGAGCGTCGGTCTGCCGACTCAAAGGTCCCAGGTTCGATTCCGGTCAAGGCCATGTAACTTGGTTGTGGGCACATCCCCAATAGGGGGTGTGCAGGAGGCAGCTGGTCGGTGTTTCTCTCTCATCGATGTTTCTAACTCTATCTCTCTCCCTTCCTCTCTGTAAAAAATCAAAAAACTATATATTTTTTAAATAAAATAAAATAAATAAAAATGGGGTCATCGCTGTGCCTCCCACGTGGAGCCGTGGTGAGGGTCCCACCAGATCATGTAGGTAACTGTGCCTCGGTGTCCAGCGCAGAGTCGGGGGCGGTGCTGTTTTTAGGGGAGGCTCAGAGCACATGGAGGAAGCGGGCCCAGCCCTGGAATACGCGAGGAGCGGGTGAGGGACGTGTGCTTCACCGCATGGACACGGGAACAGAGGCCCGGGGAGGGGAAGGGCGTTCCCCGGGGTCACAGGGCAGCCTGGAGGCAGAGCGAGGACCAGAGACAAGGCCAAGGGCCCCCCCCCCATCTCCGTGGGGGGTCATTCGACAGGAGGCAGGGGCAGGGAGGGAGTGGGCCCTTTAAATCCTAAGCCCCACCTTTGCTGAGAAGGGTCTTTGGGGGAGTATAAAAGGGGGTGCAGTCCTCCTCTGCTCCAGAACAATACCACCCAGGGTCAGCTCCCAGCACCGGCCCCCGGCCCGGCCCGGCCCCCGGCCAGCGGCCAGGCACCGCCGTCTGCCCGGGTGCCATGCATCTGCCGCCCTTTGACATGTGGAAGGACTACTTCAACCTGAGCCAGGTGGTGCTGGCCCTGATCCGGAGTCGGGGGCAGAGGCCCGAGGCCCCCCCGGATGGGAGGGAGCCGAGACCCGAGCCCCCGCCGGGGCCGGGGCAGGAGCCGGGCCTGGGAGGAGGGCCGGGGGCCGGCGGGGGCGCCGCCAGCCTGTGCAACTTCTGCAAGCACAACGGGGAGTCCCGCCACGTGTACGCCTCGCACCAGCTGAAGACGCCGGAGGGTGAGGTGGTGTGCCCCATCCTGCGGCACTATGTGTGCCCGCTGTGCGGGGCCACGGGCGGCCAGGCCCACACACTCAAGTACTGCCCGCTCAACGGCGGCCAGCAGTCCCTGTACCGCCGCAGCGGGCGCAACTCGGCCGGCCGCAAGGTCAAGCGCTGAGGGCCGAGGGGTGCCCGCACCCCCGCACCCCTCACCATCCTGGTTGAGTGCCCTGGACCCTCCCCAGACTCACCCCATCCTTTGGAACCGCGGGTCCCCAGAACTCCAGCCCGGACGGATCCTGAGACAGCGGGGGCTGCTGGGGACCCAGGAGGCCCGCCCGGGGCCCTGGGACAACGGCTCAGCCTTTGGGGTTCGCAGGACCTCTGCCCCCGGGACCACACGGCCCCGTGGCTCCTTTGGGGCCACACGGTTCATGGATCTTCGGTGACACCAGCCCTGCCGCCTCTGACTGCTCAGCCCCAGCCCCCAGGCTCCGCTCCTTGTGGGATTCTTGGGTCCCGCTGGGCCGTCCCAGGCTGGCGGTGGGAATGTGCAGACGGAACAAGCCTGGCTCGGACCTGCAGCCCAAGAGCTCCGAGATGAGACTGGGACTGGAGACCAGCCTCGCCCACCTTCCTCTCCGGCACCTGCAGACTCCAGCGCATTGTGAACCACGGGGACCCCAGCGCATTGTGAACCACGGGGACCCCAGCGCATTGTGAACCAGGACCCCAGCGCATTGTGAACCACGGGGACCCCAGCGCATTGTGAACCACGGGGACCCCAGCGCATTGTGAACCACGGGGACCCCAGCGCATTGTGAACCACGGGGACCCCAGCAGCGCATTGTGAACCACGGGGACCCCAGCGCATTGTGAACCACGGGGACGGCTCCCTCCACCAGCCCCTCCATCAGGAGCCGGGGAGGGAGGGGGTGCACTGCAGGACCCCATGTCCCCGCAGGCTTGTCTGGGGGTGTAGAGCCTGGAGGTGAGCTGACACCCTCCACCTCCCCTCTGATCCCCCCCACACCCCAGGCTGTTGGCTGTTCACTTGTTGGCTGTTCACTTGCTTTCCTGAGCTCCTGCCCTCACCCCACCTCACAGAGGCGCCCTCTGCCCCAGCCAGAGGGCGCGAGGGCCCAGACTGCGTGGGCCGGGCGTGCGCCTTTCCGCCGCCCCCACCCCCACCCCCACCCCCAAATCACCGTCTGCTGAAAGGTCGGGGGCGGGATTTTTGTGTGTTTTTATTTCCCCTCCCGGTTGGAACAGTTAAGTCAACAACGTGCCCGGCTGGGAATGGCAGTTACCTAGCGTTTGTTTTAAGGGGCGAGTCGGAGCCCCCGGTCCGATTTTAAGTTGTTTTGGCGCAAGGCGGAGCCCCTGTGTTGCAGTCCGGTAAATAAAGGTTGTCTTTGCAATCGCCGTGTCTGCTTGTGTCTTCTCGCCGCCCCCAGGCCCCGCTGGAGGGGGAGGGGGCTCGCCTGTGCCCGGCCCCTGGGAAGAGGGAGGGGGGCGGGCGGGGGCCAGCCAGGGCCCCCGGAGTCCTCTCCGGATGTGCCCCCCCCATGTCCCCCGCACAGGTCACCTGCGGACCGGCCCTGCAGTCCCAGCTTCTGTCCGGGTCCCCGGCTCATCCTCCTGGCTCTTTCCTGGGGTCCCCCTCCTGCCTGCTGGACCAACTGGGTGGTAATTCTTAAGCTTTGGGTGCCAGGCCCCCTTGAGGAGGTGATGGAAAAGCATGGTCCCGGCCGAAACCGGTTTGGCTCAGTGGACAGAGCATCAGCCTGTGGACTGAAGGATCCCAGGTTCAATTCTGGTCAAGGGCATGTACATTGGTTGCGGGCACATCCCCAGTGAAGGGTGAAGGGTGTGCAGGAGGCAGATGGTCGATGTTTCTCTCTCATTGATGTTTCTAACTCTCTATCCCTCTCCCTTCCTCTCTGTAAAAAAATCAACAAAATATATTATATATATATATATATATATATATATATATATATATATATATATGGTATGGTCCCCATGGAAACAGGCAAATGCACAAAACACCGCATATAATACTGGAGGCGCTTGTATCCCGTTTGGTCCACGAATGTCTATTGCGCATCCGTGTTGGGCCAGGTCCCGGTCTAGGCCATGGCGGGCACAGCGGTGAGCAGAGCAGGCCAGACGCCCGCCCTCAGGGCGCTGGCTGACACTCCGGTGGGGACAGGAGGTGCCTGATAATCAGTGAATACATGTCAGGGGTGAAGGAGAGAAGGCAGGTAAAGGGATGGAGCGTGAAGGAGAGGCTGTTGTACACGTGGTGGTCAGGGAAGGCGTTCCGGTGGAGGTGACATTTGAGCAGAGTCCAAATGAAATGAGAAAAGCAGAGACTATGGCCCTGGCCGGTTTTGGCTCAGTTAATAGAGCGTTGGCCTGGGACTGAAGGGTCCCAGGTTCCACTCAGGGTCGAGGGCATGTACCTTGGTTATGGGCACATCCCCAGTGGGGGCATGCAGGAGGCGCAGACTCGCCGGCAGCCACAGCGCCCGGCTGCCTCCCAGGGCAGCCAGGGAAGGGTCCTGCCTAGGGGCACGGGTGGGGATGTGGGGTCAGTTAGGATGTGGGGAGTATAAGGTGCTATGGGGTGAACGTTGTCCTCCCCCAGAGATACGTCCTGTCCCTCATGCGTCACTCGGAGATGCCGGGAGCTAAGATGAGGTCATGCTGGAATAGAGTGCACCCCGAACCCCCAAACCCACCATGACCGGCGTCCTTCGGAGCAGGGGAGCGAGGCGCACAGAGGGAAGACAGACGGAGACGGAGGGACCCTGCCTCAGCCGGGAAGGCGCGGGGCTGCCGGAGGCTGGAAGGGGAGGATCCTTCGTGGCCCTGGCCCTGCCTCAGCCCAATTTCCAGCTCTGGCCTCCGAACTGGGAGAAATAACGCATTTCTGCATTTCTGTTGCTTGCTTCAGCCACCCAGTATGCGGTGTTGTTACGGCAGCCCTTGGAATAAAGGCCTGAGCACCCAGATGACATGGGCGCCTCAGGAGTCTGGGCCGAGGGAAGGATTTGAGTCTATTTTTTTTTTTAATATATTTTATTGATTTTTGACAGAGAGGAAGGGAAAGGGATAGAGAGTTAGAAACATCGATGAGAGAGAGAAACATCGATCAGCCGCCTCCTGCACACCCCTACCAGGGATGTATCCACAAGCAATGTACATGCCCTTGACCGGAATCGAACCTGGGACCTTTCGCTCTGAAGACCGACTCTTTCCATCCACTGAGCCAAACCGGTTTTGGCAGGGTTTGAGACTAAATCCGGCCTGGAATTCCATGAGGAGGCTGAGTAGGGAGCCAGGGAGCCAGGGCAGAGGGAAGTGCATGGAGTGGGCAGGTGTCAGTGAGTGGAGACAGGATGCAAGGGGGCTGCTCAGACTCCAGCACCGCCCCCCTCCCCCTCGGGCCCTACCAGGAACCAGAGACTAGGGAGCCCCGGAGATGGAGAGCAGCTGGCAGCATCCGGCACTCAGGGCAGGCAGACCAGGGACAGAACAGGCCTGCAGGGCAACCACAGGTTTCTGCTCCTGGGCCTCCTGGGCCCACCCTGTGAATTCTAGAGCAGAACAGACAGAGACAGGCTGGACACCACGCAGAGAAGCAAGTGCTTAAGAGTGAATCCCTCCCTCCTCCCTCCAGCACCCCTGAGGATAAGGAGGGGCAGGAGCAGTTCTCCAGCCACATAAAGCCATGGAAGGAAAATTAGGTCCATAGCTCTTGGTTTTGGCTCAGTGGATAGAGCAACAGCCTGCGGACTGAAGGGTCCCAGGTTCGATTCCGGTCACGGGCACATGCCCAGGTTGTGGGCTAGATCCCCAGTGTGGGGCGTGCAGGAGGCAGCCGATCAATGATTCTCTCTCATCATCGATGTTTCTATCTTCCTTTCTCTGCTTTTCTGAAATCAATAAAAAATATATATATATTTTAAAAGGAAAAAAAAAAGAAAAATAGCCGAAACCGGTTTGGCTCAGTGGTAGAGCGTCGGTCTGCGGACTGAAAGGTCTCAGGTTCGATACCGGTCAGGGGCATGTACATTGGTTGCGGGCAGATCCCCAGTAGGGGGTGTGCAAGAGGCAGCTGGTTGATGTTTCTCTCTCATCGACGTTTCTGGCTTTCTATCTCTCTCTCTTCCTCTCTGTAAAAAATCATTAAAATATATATATTTTTTTAAAAATAGGTCCATTAAAGACGGCCCTAGAATCCCACAGAGTTCCCATTGTGCCCGGAAGTGTACATGCTGAATGTGGAATTCCTGAACCTCCCCTCCCCCGCAGGTCAGGTGCCCACTACCTCGTGGGTCTCAGGAACTGAATGTGCGCCCCTGCCAGGGTCCAGGGGTCCTGTGTGCTGTGACTGTGAGTTAGAGCTGATGCCAGGCCGGCCAGAGCCGGGGCCACCCTGGAGAATTCTGTGCCTACGGGAACAGGCAGCTCCCCTAGCTGAGGTCCTTGTTTTGATCGGCGTTGGCCATGCTGCTGTCTCTTTTAGCTTTGATTTCTGTTTCTTTGTGTCTTTCACTCTGTCCCTTTCCAATCCTTCCTTCCTGCCCACTGCCCCCCTCCACACACACACACACACACACACACACACACACACACCCTGCCCCACCCCCTGCAGTCATTCTGACAAATGCAAACCTTTCCCGCAGACTCACTCTCATCACAGAGGGCTGCCTAAGCAATGCCCAAAAGGGGAAATCACACGCCCAGAGGAAATCCTGTCGGCTCTCCCCTCAACACACTGGCCACACCCCGATTCTGACCATGCCACCCCGGCCCCCAGCTCCTCTCTCCAGGACTGTGGCCGTCACCTCCTCACTGGTCCCCCTGCTTCTGTTCTCCACCTCCCAGACTCTAGGACCTGGAGTACACATTCCACCCCCAACCAAAGCGATCCCACTGAAACCCAGGTCAGTTCACAGCCCTCCTATGGTCTGTCTCCCAGAGTAAAAGCCAACATCCTCACCAGGGCCTCTCTCTGAACCCCTCTCACTGTTCCACAAATGCTTCCAGAACATACCTGCCGCCAAAACCGGTTTGGCTCAGTAGATAGAGCGTCGGTCTGCGAACTGAAAGGTCCCAGGTTCGATCCCAGTCAGGGACATGTACCTTGGTTGCGGGCACATCCCC